TTCTTCGGGTTTAGCCGAAGGTTGAATTTTTGCATGATGGCGAAGATTTCCCGGAGGTCGTCGGCATGGCTGGAAGATTGTTTGCTCTTGACGATCATGTCGTCATCATAGGCCTCCATGGTGCACCCTAGGACGGCTTGAAAGACCCGGGCCACCATCCGGGTGTAGGTGGCCCCCGAGTTCTTTAGGCCGAAGGCCATTACTAGGTAGCAGAAGATGCCCTCGGGAGTCATGAAGGCAGTTTTTTCGGCGTCTTCCTCGTGCATGAAAATTTGGTGATACCCTCGGAAGGCATCGAGGAAGGACATGATCTCACACCCTGCGGTCTCATCCACCAGTTGATCAATATTTGGTAGAGGGAATGGATCCATAGGGCACGCCTTGTTGAGATCGGTGTAGTCCACGCACATGCGGAAGGTAGGGGGCTTCTGTGCGAGGACTACGTTGGCCAGCCATGAGGGATATTTCACCTCCTTGATGTGCTTAATAGAAAGGAGCATGGCGACCTCCTTCTTCACAAATTCCCTTCTCTCGGCCGAGAGGGGTCTTCTTCGTTGTTGTACTGCTTTTGCCGAGGGGTCCACCGAGAGGCGGTGGGTGATGACCCTTCGGCTGATTCCCGGCATGTCCTCCGGCCCCCCTGCAAAGACAGTGGAGTAGGCGCGGAGGGCGTTGGTGATACCGGTCTTCAGATCTTCAGGGAGCTGGGCTCCAATCTTCACGACTCTCTCCGGCTTGGCCGGATCGAGCGTAAAGTCTTCTACGTCCTCGGCTGGTTCAGCCCTCGGCCTTTTTTCATCTTGGTCGATGGTTCCGGTGATGGTGTCAACACGGAATTCCGTCTTACTTACCTTCTTAGTAACTTGAAGATAGCAGGCGCGGGCGATTTTCTGATTCCCCCGGGAGTAGCCAATGCCCCTCTCGGCGGGAAACTTGAGGCAGAGGTGCCTCATGGAGATGATGGCCTCGAGGTCCTCGAGGGCTGGCCGGCCGAGGATGATGTTGTGGGCGCAGTCGATGTTGACGACGACGAACTCCACTTCGAGTTGGGCTCTATGGAGCCCGTCGCCGAAGATCACCGGGAGGGTTATTACCCCCTCGGAATCAATAGTATCACCGGTGAAGCCGGCAAGAGGGGTCTTAATGGGCCGAAGGGACCCCCTCTCCAGATGCAGCTCTCTGAAGGTGCTGAGGTACATTACATTGACGGAGCTGCCCGTGTCAATGTAAGTTCGGTGAATGATGGTGTCGTTTATTTCAGTCCGAATCACCAAGGCATCCCTGTGAGGAGAAGAAGTAGGAGGCAGATCTGTGTTGGTGAAGGTGATGGGTTCCTCCCTCAGCCGCTTTACCGGGGGCATATGGGTGACTTCCCCTACGTAAAGCGATTGAGCCCACTTTTTCCGCTGGCTGGTGGAGTCGCCCCCTGTATTGCCACCGGTGATCATGAGGATGTGGCGTTTCTTCTCCTGGTAGTGGGGGTACTCCTCCTCTTCCTCCTCCAAGTTTCAGATCTCCCTCTTCTTGCCAAGGGGGATGGTGTTCGGGTTCACCCAAGCGTTTACCTTCGTGTGGTGCCCTCGGGGAGGTCCCTGATGAGAAGGCCCCTCCTGCCGAGGGCTCTGGATAAATTGGGACAGGTGCCCCGCCTGTATCAATCTCTCGATGGCCGTCTTTAGCTGATGGCAGTCATCGGTTCCGTGCCCCTGGTGCCGATGGAAACGACAGTAGGGGAACTGAGGGTTGATGGCATGTACCTCCGGGGGTGCGCGAGAATCGCGCTCAACGAGGCCTCTCTCCTCGGCAAAATCAAGGATGATACTGACGGGGTGCATCAATGGTGTCCGAGGGCGGTCTAGGAGAATGGGTTGTGCCCAAGTCTTGAGGCTGCTCTTATAGCCTCCCCCGGGCTTGGCTTGGGCTTGCCGAGGGCGGTCATCAGAGGGTCCTGAAGCCTTGGGATGATTTGGAGGAGCCCCCGGCCCTCGGTTATTCTTGTTGTCAGCCTTCAGGGGTTGCTGATCTGGATGCTGGTGGTATTTCTCCACCTCCTCAGGCTCAGCGTATCGATCCCCCCGCTGCAGGGCCCTTATGTAGTCGCGGGGGGGTCGATGATGAGGCTCCTTGAAAAGTTGACGGTGCGGAGGACGGTTTGTAGGAGGGCCAGGAGGGTCCCGTCATCAGCACCGTCGACTTTGTCGGCTTCCGTCCTCCAGGAAGTCCCGAAGGGTCTCATCCCTCTTCTGGCGTATGGTTAGGAGGTGGGAGAAGTGCTTCCTTGTGCGACGTCGCCCAGCAAATTGCGTCAAGAATCGCTGGGCGAGTTCTTGCCACGAATCAATGCAGCCCTCGGGACCGGTTGAACCATTCGTATGCCGGCCCCTCTAAGGTGGAGAGGAACCAACGACACAAATATTCGTCCGACGCCCCTACCATCATCATGATGTTCTGATATTTGCTGTAGTGTTCCTGGGGGTCCGTCTTCCCGTTGTAGGGCTGTATGTGTTGCCCTCGGTATTTTTCTGGGATCCGGGCCGCCAGTACCCTTGGGGTAAATGGCGTCCGGGTCCGGAGCTGGATGACGGGTTCCCCGGAGCCCTCGGCCACCTTCTTCTGTAATTCCTCCATCTTGGCCATCATGGCCTCGTATCTGAGGTCTGAACGAGGGGTGGAGGTGGTGGCGTGAGCTTTGTTGGCCTCCATTTCGTCAAGCCGGCGTTGGAGGGCCGCAATAATTTCGTCCCGGGGATCCTTCGGGAGGGTCTCCGCCCCCTGCGAACGAACTCGGGCCGAGTGGGCCTGGTTGATTTGGTGGTGAGCATCATTGGCATGAAGGGGTGCCTTGCCTTTGTCCCGAGGGGGACGCTCCTCGTCTGCCCTCGAAACAGACCCTCCGCTTTCCTGGGGCCTTTGGAGTGCTTTCCCTCCGAGGCGGTCTTGGACCCCTCGGCGGTCTGGCCCTCCTCCGAGCCGGTTGAGGGCGGAAGTGCGGGGCCTTTCTCTGTTGTCATTGTGGCGGTCCCGAGACTGAACTTCCTGGGAGGACGTATCTTGGGCCACTACCCCTTCGTCGTTCCTAACCCGAGGGGTGGGGTTTCCGAAGGGGTGTGGCAGAGGGGGAAGCATGATGTTCTCCCCAACCTGGGGTTGAGCCAGAGCCAGGGTGCCGAAGGCACCCGGGTTCTGAGTGAGCGTTTGGATGAAGGCGGAGAGCGCCGATTGCACGTCGATGGTGAGAACCGGAGGGCTGACTTGGTCATCGCTCCGGTTTTTCTTCTTGGCCTCGATGCCGAGGCGGGCATCGGGGGGCTTTCTGTTGGATCTGAAGGCGTAGGTCGACAGCCGCCTGTTCCAACCCAGCGATGACACCGCCCTCGGGAGCCCTGTGAGAGGCTTCGGGGGCGTTGACGTCGCCGAGGGCCAGGTTCTTGTCTTCTACGTTTTTGGAGTTGGTATGTGTTGTTCTCACCATTTTGGTAGAGGGCTGGTGTTTGGCGAAGGGGGAGGGTTTCTTACTCGATTGTTCGACCTCTCAACGAGAGCACCAAATGATGGATAGTGTATCCGGGGGGTAGCTTATCCGAGGGGTTATTGCAGAGAATAACTTAGAGAGAAGTCAAAGCATAAGTAAGTAAGAGAGAGAGTGTATTCAGTATGAATGTCGTGGTTTACAACGGGGAAAAGGGGGTGCTATTTATAGTAGCAATAAATGCCGGACAGGGACACGTGTCAAGCGGCCATTGGCCGAGAGGTCACCTCAACTGGTTGGCGTTGGCAGCCGCATGTGGCCGCATTTAATGCGGCTGTTGGATGAGACGTCTGTACAGGGTACGGTGGTCTGTACGCATGTGGCGCGGATATTATGTCGGGAGAGGTGCCTTCGGCTATAGAGCAGGAGCCGAGGGCTCCTCAAACCGAGGGCTCCTGGTGCCGAGGGCTACTGTTTTCGCCGTTTTCTCCCAGTTTCTTAGTTTGCCTGAGAAACCCGTTCTGTGAGAGTCTAGAGGCCTTCGGCCAGGGGGTCGAAGGCATCCCTGGTGCGCTGTGGGCTGCTTGGCACTCCGGGCGCCATGTCTTGGGCTTGTTGGGCCTTTACTGGAGTAGTAGGAGTCTGTGGGCCGGGGGTTCCCGGGCCATATACTCCATCACGTATTATATACATATACATACATATGTATGTTATACTCCCTGCGTCCCGAAATAAATGTCCTGCATTCCTTTTCGGCCCATCCCAAAATAATTATCTTGTTTCCTCTTTTGGCAATAATGGGTGGCTCATAATAATTCACTTTTTTCTACTCAAATCTCAACTACAACTTTTATATTTTCAATCACTTTCTTAAAACTTGTGCAAAAGCAAATAAGACAATTAATTCGGGACAGAGGGAGTATATAATCTTATTTTAGGCCAGTATCAAATGTGCTAAAAAAATTAAATTATGTATTTTATATTATATTTTAGTGATACTAAAACGAAAATCCAATCAGTTTTGAACTAATTTTATACGTTATATATATAACTTAAATTCTATGAACTTCTGTTAATTCCATATATACGTTGTAGTTTCAGCAATTATAGATGAAATTAGATGCATTAGCTGTCGTGTAATGTTTTTTAAAATGATTAACATTTGATGAGTTTATTAATTATACTTCTTAATCATTATTTACCTACCTGAAGATTAAATAATAAAAATTTTGAGCACACATTGAGAATCTTATGTTATTTTTAAAATCAACTATATCATTGATAATTTTATGATGACTTTAATTATGCATTTCATTCAAAGACATTAACATTTGTCATGACTTGTGATGACTTTGAAATACATTTATTATAGAGGATATCACTAATTATGACTTTTGAATTTCAGGTTTATTTGGCAAGTTCCAATTTGTTTTCACGTTTATCTTAGTTTCATAAATGTAATTGTTAGGTTGTGGGGTCGGGCCCTTTTATGTAATATTGACCCATATGCATGGAATGTTCGAGAGCTGCTATGTTTTGAAGGAAGACCAGTTTTACCCTGTGATTGCTGACAACTACTATGATCAAGCTCAATCACACCATTCTTAGTTTGAGATGGACCATTCTGAAACAGCTAAGATGATCAACTTGTTTTCATCTTCAGCTCAGCCTTATGCCTGTCCTTATCATCACCATAAACCTACAAGTGATGTTCTTCCACAAAAGGATGAAAATGCTTCCTCTGAACAGAAAACATGGAGCTCTCTGTTCAAAAATCACACATCATGTGATATGGTGAACAAATATGAGCTGTTGAAGATTGCATTTTCACGTCCAACTACAACCTTTCCAGAGCATTCTGAATGGGAATCTTTGACTTCACCTCCAATAACCTAAAGTGAACTCCATGAGGTTTGTGGAGAGGAGATAAGGAAAGTATTCATCTGTTTATTGAGGCTCGTGAAGTCTATTCTGGCGAATGGAAGGTAGAGGAGGTTGAAGAAGATGCAGACAATATTCAACCATTTCTTTAGGTTCCTGAATAATCGGTGGGTGGAAGTTCTTCGACCGAACTGAATGAGGTGTGTGCAGAGGAGGACAATGTTGAAAGACATGAAGAGCCATTTGTTGAAGCTCCTGATATTCCATCAATGTTTGCTCCATTTATACTTTATAATTTCATTTAGATCTTCTGTTTTTATTCATAAAAGTATATAACTGATACTTTTTATTTGAAGCTGATGCAAGAGGTTCAATTACTGAAGGAGAGGCAAATGAAACAAGAAGAGAAAATCCAGGCTCTTGGGAAGGAGCTAGCTGGTATGTGTGCTTGACTGCTTGAGATTTAAAATCATCAAATTTCTGCTTATTATTACAGATCCCATCTTTCAAAGGTTTCATTAAACACTAAAGTATTTTGGTTTCTTTAGGTTGGTTCTTTCTGTCTAAGTTCGAACTAACCTCAGAGGAATCCATGTATCAACACATACTTTGATCAAGATATTTGTGAATACAATTATATTTAAACAAACATAAAGTTTTGAAATCGAAGCTAAAAAGGGTAAAAGAAAAAATAAGATAAGATTAAAAAAATGCAATAAAGATATAAAGATACGTAAGATAAAATAAATAAAAAATAAAAAGATAAATGACATGATAACTCTATTATTAAAAATAAAACATAATTTTTCACTAATATTGCACTAATGTTGCACGAAGATTTATATTTTAAAATATTTCACTAAAACAACATCTAATGTAGCACTAATGTTGCACTAAAAAACATCTAATGTTGCACTAAAATAGCGTATAATGTTTTACTAAAATAGCATCTAATGTTGCACTAATGTTGCACGAAATTTAAATTTTATAATGTTTCTACTGTTTCACGAGGCTTAACATTTTTGATGTTGCACTAAAACATCATCTAATGTTGCACTAATGTTGCATAAGGACTTAAATCTTATGATGTTCTATTAAATTAGCATTTAATATTGAACTAGGCTTTATGTTTTGGTATGTTGCACTAAAACAATTTCAAGTTGGACTGGGATTTGACGATGTTGCATTAAAACAGCTTCATGTTGTACTAGAATTTGACGATACTGCATTAGATATTCTGTTTGGTAACCCATTTATTGCTAGTGTCGTCTAAATATTCTCAATCAAGAGACTTATCCTACGAAGTCCAAAGGAAGTTGTTAGACCTTTGAAGTTGAAGGAATAAACTTCAACATTGTCATCGTCTATGGGAATTTGAAGTTAACTCCCTATTTATAGTGAATTTGAAATTGCAAGGTCTTCGGATGAAATATCCAGTGTGTAATACGCTTAACCACTCAACCACCTCTTTAATGCTCAACCATCTCATTAATTGCTCAACCACCCGAATATAATGCATTTGACCACTTTGAAATTTATCAAAAAGCAAATTATTCCATAAATGTGGACCCAAACCTATCAAAAAACGTGCATCTCCCCAGCCACCTCATTTAATGCATAATGGATTTGAATTGTGTGGCGCGGGGAAACGTATTTCATAAATTAGGAATCTCTAACAAACGAGTCTTCATCGTAACTCACAAATTTTTTAACAAAAACCAATTAATTGAACTGATGCACACTAAAACCCTTCAGACCCCGGCCCATTTCGATTGACCCGTATTTGACCTGGTTTTTTGGGCAGGAAAAGTGTCTGAAATTTCACTTCAGTTTGTATATAGTACGATGATGTCTAGAGAAAAGTTTCCGATAGATGGTAAGCATGAATGCATGATGGATAATACTTCTTTTATTCTTTTTTAATTGAAACAATTCACTTTTTACGTTTGGCAACACACAAATTTGATCATCAATATCTTTCATTTTTTATTATTAAAAAAATTAAAAAATTCAGATTTTCAAATTTTAAAATTAGAAGAATTTAACAAAAAAATTTAAAAATTTAATTTAGAACACATTAATAAATTAAATATAGTCAAAATAGAATAGGTGAATAATGTATAAAGTCCAACTTTACGATTAAAAGATAAAAATTAAAGGCACTTGAAGCATAGGGATCGGATAAGTGGACACAGTCGGAAATGAACCATCTAGGAATCGCCAAACGGGTGTTTAGCCTCCCAATATATATAGTAAAGGCACTTGAAGCTAACTCCTGAGCTGTGGTTCTTTTAATCTGCAGGCCCGGCTAAGTTTTGGCCAAATAGTCAAACTTCAGTGGAAATCAAAGCGTTTGTTGTAGAGGAAAGGATGAAAGCACGGGAATTTTTTGTACGGGAGTTCCGTTTAGGGTAAGAATATACGGGAGTAGGAAGTTGTGCTTCCGACTGGAGGAGGGCGTCGAAAAGGAATAGAGAAACCCCTGTAGTCGGAAAAGCGGAATCCGACTGGGTGGGTTAGTGGTAGATGAATAATTCCAAAACAGAGGCTACACATAAGGAATTTTAATAGTCCTTATTACATTATTTATAAACAGTGGTTTAGTGGAGTATATTACATTATTTACGTTTTCATTTTTTTGAAGGAGATTTACGTTTTCATTAAAATATTGTTTTATATAAAGTTAATATGGAAGTGATTTTTATTAGAGAATATTACTCGAAATAGGACTAAATAAAAAGGATTCTAAATTCCAAAATAGAATTGCTATGTTTTTATTTCCAAAATAAGACTAATTACTGTTGGTAGAATTCAGTTGGATAAACCTGCAAAAAACGTTAGAAAAATAATATAGCTCGAGTCGCGTAAACGCTGTCCTCAAGAAAGTATTTCCGACTAATGAAAACATTTCCCTAAGATAAAACGAGTTCTTTGCCGTAAGTCAGTAACAGAACAACGAGAGTAAAAATAATATTAATCCAGCAGAGTAAAAATATTGGGGGGTGCTTAGCTCAAATTAATCTTTATATTTCATTTGGCAAGCTATCTTGGCCGAACATATATATTTATATGCAAGTGAAAGTTGTTGGCCATATTAGAAACCGATGGAATTTAAAACATCTTAATTACGTTTTTATGTATAAAATATTGGTTTTCATATAACGTTTTAAAATTGTTATTCAAATATTGGTTTTAATACAGAATTATTTATAAATTAATAAATACTTAAATGTTAAGTATAGAAATAGTGGTTTTAGGATGTTTTCTTGTGACTGAAATTTGATGGTCTAAACTGGTCTGGTCTGAACTAGTCTGGTCCATCATGATAAATGTCTGGTCTCTATGATTTAGAACAACACAAATTTTACCAATTTTGATATAAAAATGTCTTAGTGTGACATCCCAAAATAGAAAGATGAGACAATTTTAGCGGGACAGAGGGAGCAGCTGCTAGCATAGTCATGCGATAAGTTATATTTAAAATTACACATGCATTATATTTTTTAAATAAATAAAATTATAAATAAAAAAGTTATTATGATTTCTTGTTTTAAAAAAATAATAAGACTCCAAGTGGTCCACGTGTTGACCCTTTTTGAAAGTGTCCACGTGTTTATTACCTTGTGAACATGTAATATGTAAAATATTGATAATATGGGTATAAAATTGATAAAGATAATTAAAAGCACCATTATTTGACTTTGTCATAAAATGCAAAAGCCTAATTCTCCAGTCGGAATGGAGACTTCCGACTATGGAAACAACTGAACCCTGTCGGAATCCCCACTTCCGACTTCCTTATTTTGGGAAACTCACGAAAAAATCCCGTATTTTGGAACTAGATGTAACGTTTTCCCATATAGGGAAATCACCCTATAAACTTGGAGCCACCAATAAAGTTGCAGATGCCTTGTCTCGACGGGAGCATCCTGAAAATGGGGCCAAACTTACAGCTATATCAAGATCCCAACGGAGGTTTGGTACGAAATACGAACACTAACTCAAGAAGACACTTGCGTGCAAGAAATTCATTCAAAAATATGGAGTATTAAACAAAGAGGTTGAAGTGGCAGATTATGAAGTTCGGAATGGGTGCATTTTGTTAGTACCCAATTTTGATAGATTTTGATGATGTCACTATACTTTGCACGTGTACATTGTGTCTCATATTATAGCATTCAAATTTAAGTGACAAATGTAAATGTACAATTTTTGAGACTAAAGAAATATTACCGGAAAAGTAAAAATGCAATAAGGTAAATTTTATTTACCTTCATAGGATATTTAGATCCTACCGGCAAATATTATTTAGCTCAAAGATTAATTAAATGTCACAAAAAGAAAATAGGTTCAAAAATCATATACATTGAATTTACATGATTGAAGACAAATCTTGACCGGTATTTAATACCGAATCAAGTACTGAGGGCGGCAGCATGGGACGCACACATAGAAGATACTTCAGCGCCCAAAATTCTTGAAGACAAACGTTGCCGGCAGTTAATGCTGATCAAGTACTGGGGTCCAGAGCATTGAAGTGCACACATGGGACTGCCTCTGAAGGGATACTTCAGCGGCTGAATTATTGAAGACAAAATACACGTCCAGAATCAAGCTCCAACACAAGAAGACGAAGAGCAAATCGTCCTCGCCAATATTCAACGGAAGAGATCAATCTATCCTAACCAACGGATAAGATTGATCAGCCAAAAAACCTATAAATAGAGGCTGAAACGAAAGTTTCTAACCAAGCTTGAGCATCCTAAGTAGAGAGATACTTCTATTGAGCATTCAAGAAATATCTAGCAAAAGAAAAAGTGTTATTCTATCCATGACTCTCTGCTTAGACTCTTGCTTCACTAAACTTCTTAGTATCAAGTGTTCATTGCTTAAATCGTAGAAGTTTAGTTCCTAGTTGGAGGTTAGATCTTTCTTGTAAACCCATCAGATATTGTTGTAAACACTTCAGGAGGACAGTTATTCCCGGCCTGAGTGTGGTTAGATAGGTCAGGAGTACCTTTTGATCCCCACTGGATCAATTGAGAAAAACCTAAAGGATTGAGTAGCTTGGAGTGGTGTTGTACTCCTCGTGAAACACCTTCAATCTAGGTCAGAGTTTTCAAGGCTAGATTGGCACTAAGTGTATTGGGCTTAATACATTAGTGAAATCCATCTGAAAGAGGGTGAGACTGGATGTAGGAGGATTACACCACCTCTGAACCATGATATACTGTGTGTTGATTCATTTTCAGTCAACAAAGCACACACTGAACACTTCTCATAAAAGATTGTAGTTTGCCAGCAGCATCCTAATCAGTAGTCTTAATTGAATCTACTGCTTATCCTACTGCTTAATAACTCGTTTTCTTTGAGATACAAGAAATTCACAATATTACAACTATAAGGTCTGTTCCATTAGATTTCAGGAAATCCCACTTAAGGCATAGCAGTTGCCTTAGCAGTCCCCTGGTGACTACCCAACTGCCAAGCCCACTGCTCACGCAAAAGTGTTTCCTTTGAACATCTCCACTTCACCAGACCTTCACAACTCTATCTCCACGAAGTCTGTTCAAACTAATCACTGCAATTCAAAGTGGTAACCCAGCAGTTGCCTCAGCAGTTCCCTCAATATCACCCAACTGTTGAGACCACTGCTCCAGTAAAACTCCCACTTACTTGGACCAATGCACATCTTCAGAAAGCCCACATCATCCTGAGAAACTCCACATAATCAATCTTTCCATACCTCCACCTTTACTTAAGTAGGTGCCTCAGCAGTTCCCTGGTTACCACCCAACTACTCAGACCACTGCTCTCATTAAGATTGATTATTAATCTACCTTGTTATATCATGAGAAAGCTATTCCAAATCTAAGAAAGATTCTGAGTGCACTCTCATCATAATTGAGTATTTCGCTAGCAGTTGCCTCAGCAGTTCCCTGCTTTCTAGCCAACTGCTCACCTCACAAAGCTCAAATTTCATCCATCATAAGAAAGTGTTATACACTATTTATCTAAGAGGTTAAAGAGTTCCGTTGTGCATCTATAAATCTCCCAAAAGATTATAGATCAACTCATCTAGAAGGGAAAAGTTTTAAAGTTGAAAAAGCTTTAAAAGTCTATTCAACCCCCCCCCCTCTAGACTTTTACCTCTATCCGGGACCATCAAGTGGTATCAGAGCGGAGTGTTCCTAGAGTCAGTCTCTGACTAATTTGAACTAAAGATCCCAAACCACTATTCTTCCCAAACACTTTCTAAGAATGGAAAGGCAACATACAAAGAATCTATTGTTCAATCAGAACCAATCTGATGACTGGATAATCAAGGATATCTGGGATGAGCTCACAGTGACCCAATCAGAAGATGATCAAAGCAGTACAAGTGATGAAGGCAGCTCATCAGAAAGTAAGAAAGAGGCCCTGATTTGCCTCTTTGGAATGCACCAAACTGATAGCTCCTTCCACAACCATCCCATGGCCAGATTGAATGAAAATGACAATGATGAGGTATTATCCTGCTCCTCAAGTAGCTCATATGATTCTAGCAATTCCAGTGTTGATATGGAAGCTCTACTCCATCAACTTGAAAATTTTCATAAGGATCACCTTCTTTTAATGAACGAGAACTGTAGGCTTCAAGAAAATTTGATTATAGCCCAAGCACAAATGGGTTAAGTAATTAAAATGAAAAATCTTCTTGAAGTCGAAAACATCAGTTTAAAAGAAAGGCTGAGCTCCTTCACTACCCCTATTATTGAGGAAGTTCAAAACTGGAAGAACACAGGATCAGGATACACACCTTTATCCCAATCATTGAAAGACTCTCCCAAATGCTCTCCTATCACAAAACCCACCACAGATCTACAAGAAACAAGAAAACCAAACCAACAAAACTCCCACTCCCAAACTCTGTCAAATAAAAGGAACCTATCCTCTCGCAGACCAAAATCCAAACTTCCCTACAATTCCATCTTCCAAAAAAACCAACCAATCAAAAGGACCAACTGCATTCCAAAGAAAAAGCCGATCCCTACAATTACACATATTCCTCCCCTATAAGGAATAATGTTCATCAACATATAGCCAATCCTCAGAATGGCTATAGATCCATCAGCTTAGATCCAAATGGTTCTAAATTGGTATGGTTGCCCAAACGCATTCAAGGGAAGATGCCCACCAACTTGTGGGCTGCTACTCAAAACTGACAAATACGGGAAGGTGCTGGAGCAGCCAACTTACAAAAATAAATATTCAAGCTGCTCCATGCACATGACAGACAGCAGATGTCTACTGTCAATACTAGATCTGGAGAAGGACCCAAACCTTTGGGAATGAGAAAGATAAAGGAGAAACTAAAGGAGCTGGAAAATACAATCAAAGAACAGACCACTGCTAGCAGGTGACTCAAATGAAAGATCATTGCCAGCAGTTGACTCAAAATATACGACACTGTGAGCTGCTGACTCATTCAAAAATCAACTCCTCAAGACGCTCCAGCTGAATTAAGCACAAGGCTTAATAATTCTAATCCTCTTACTCTACCAGAAGACTGTAAAGAAAAAGAGGAGGATGAGCAGGTAACTCAATTCATTCAAACATCTGACACAAGATGATTCAACCAGCATCCTCCTCATCAAAATATTGATCCAAAGGGTTCACACAAGATCATCAATCCAGAAAGAAGCAATATTTGCTTCTCCTCTCAAACAGAACCCAAAAGGATTGAAGAAGCCCTACAAACATCTGACTGGATACAAGCAAATTCAAAAGGAACAATCCCTGAATCTTGAATACAGACCCTATCATCAACGTATGATAGGAACAAAAAGAGTAACCAAGGAAGGCATCATTGTTAAGGATACACCAAAATTGGTGACCAGAGGGTACTGCAAGGAAGAAGGACTAGAGTTTGATAAAACCCCTGCCCAAAGTCGCCCCAGTAACGTCCTACTATCAGAATCAGAGTTGCTTCTCTATCTGACCTTAAGACCCAAGAGGATCTCTGTTCAAAGGTTCTCTGATGAGGTTCTCTGATGAGGTTCTCTGTTGAGGTTCTCTGATGAGGTTCTCTGTTAAGGTTCTCTGATAAGGTTCTCTGTTGAGGTTTTCTCTGAGGAGGATCTCTGGTAACTCTTGAACAGAACATCTCAACCTCTGATAAAGTATTCTGGTCTCATCAGAAGTGCTCCAACTCTGTAGCTAGCACCAGAAGTGATCAACGTATTCTGGTCCATTACAACATCATCTACCCAACATCCTTGAAAATGTGTTGCCCATAAGAAAATTCACAATCTACAAGCTGAATGTGGAAATTGCCTTCCTAAAAACGGTCTACTAGAAAAGGAGGACTACGTGGAGCAGTCCCCTTGATTTGAAATTGATAAGAGATGAAGTATTCAAACTTAATCATTCTCTGGAGTCAAGCAAACTCCAAATGAAGGGTATGATACAATTTCTAAGCATATGGTGAAATATGGGTTCATCAAAGGAAAGTAGACAAGACACTATTGTAGAAGGTCCCCACACACTTCTTAAATCTTTCAACTCTCAAGCCTACTTTGAGGTGAGCTTAAAAGGAGAGTTGAAGTATTTCTTGGGACTACAAATGGAACATAACTCCACAATGTTCCCACATCAACCAAGCCATTGAATGAAGCTAGATTCAAACATCATGACAAGAGCTTGGAATGATGATCAAATCAGGAATACCCATGCACCTATCCAGGGGGAACTTGATTCCAAAAACAAGGGGGAATTCCTAGCCACCTGCTGAGGGGGAACTCTCAGGAGCAGCCACCTGCCAAAGGTAAGTTATCCAGAATCAACAAGAAATGAAGCATCAAGATCCAAGAAAGTCTATCTCAGACTTTCAATAAAGAAGAAATCAATATCCAAGCAGTGAGCACAGCAGGTGACTGAATTTCAGTAGCACTAGGCTCAGCAGGTGCCTAATAAAGAAGCCCACTGCTACAACTTCTTGATACTTACAATAACTCGGCAGGGTAACTACCAAACGAGCCCACAGGATGATTGAGCTACAAAGAAATGATTCCTGAAATACTATTTATTCTTCCAAGAGTATTCTATGCTTCACTTGCAAACTAGTTAACTCCAATTGACAAACTCTAGAAACCAGATGACTTGACTAACTCTGAGGATCAGGTGGGATTTGTTCAATAAAAACAAAACAATATGGCAGAGACTGGTCAACGTTCTGGATAACAGAAGGAGATGTCCAAAAGTAGAATTAGCTATGATTCACCAGAAACTCTAGAAAGAAGAAAAGGAGTGAGAATTCGAACAAATCGCTCAGCAGTTGACTTCATCCTAGCAAGCAGTGGGCTCAGCAGGCGACTGGCTACTAGCCCACTGCTACCTGTATAAAGGGAGGAATTGGATATATATACTTTTTCAAAAAGGAGGGAAAGGACTAGAAAGAGAAGGAAAGCAAACGGAGGTAAAGACACTGGTTCAAAAATTCGCGCAGGTGCCTGCCAGCAGGTGACTGCTTCAGGAGCAGAGCACTGATTCAGGCCAGCAGTTGGCTCGATTTCTGAAAAATGTACATGGAATCTCAACAAGTGACATACATCATCTTGATCCCCTAATATCAAGGATTCCAACAAGGTACCTCTTGTTCTCAGAAATCATCAAAAATCTACTGAAAAATGAGCCCCCTGCTACCAGTGTGAACACAGTTAATGCTGAAAAGACCAGCTGTATTCTCCAACGGCTATATTCTAACGGCTAGTTCCCGATAGCCTATAAATACTCCCTCTGTACAAACCCTTCACACTTTCACTTTGCAATCTCTTTCTTATCAATTCTAAACCTCTCAACTCTCTCTTAATACTCTCAAAAGCCTTCTTCCGCACTACCTTTAATTCCTCACATACACACAATCTACATACACAAATGGCTTCGCACATCCAAATCTCCAAATCTATCTTCACTGGCTCCATATTAAACACCCCAAAAATCATTGAAAGAGCCGAGAACCCTGATCTTATGAGAGCACTACCCAGAAAGCTAGAATCAACAGGGCTTATGAAAATGGCCACCTACCCATACCCCTGTTTCTACCCAGAAGTGGTGGCCGAATACTACCTCAACTCTCAACAAGGGACTCTTAAATCGGTCATCAAGGGAAGGCCAGTTGAAATTAAAGAAGAGGACATCAGAACACTGCTCTCCCTACATGCAGATGAGGCCCCAATGGTGGAAGAACTCAATTTCGATGAACAAAGCTACAAGGAAATTGTATTCATTCCAAGCGCTCATAACACCAAAACCCTCAAGGTCAAGAAGAAAATGATGGTTCCTGAGTACTCCCTCCTACTTGACATCCTATATAAATGCATCAACACCAAAAGCACTGCTTTAGATGAGATCAATGCAAAAAGGGCAGTACCATTAGCCACAATCATCTCAGGCATCCCTCACAACTGGACCAGGTACGTCCACAACCAACTTCAAGAGTACGTTAACAAATCTCACGAAAAAAGAAGAAAAGACCACACCTTCCCATGGGTAGGGTACAGTTTTTTGATTGGAGAAATCCTAAAAAGAAAGGGAGTTTTAGGAACCACTAAAGAACCCACCACCTGGAGGAAATTTCTTCATCAGACCTCCAAGGCAGGGGCCCCAGAAATCAAAAAGCAGGATGATACTCTCAAATCTCATGAGTCCCTCCAAACTGAGTTCACCCGAATCAAAACCAAGCTGGCAAAAAGACCAAGATCAGGCTGTGCTGAAATCCAATCAAAGAGATCAAAACCAGCAACAAGAAATCTCCAATAAGAATTCGAAGAGGCAGCGTCATCTTTACAAATGGTTCAAGGAGAAGTAGCCACTCCTCTTCAACTTATTCAGGAAGGAGCAGAGCCCTCTTCTAACTCTTCAAATGGAAGCAACAGCTCTGCTCTTCCCCTTTCCATACTTATCCCCAGGATAACTCAACTAGGAGAGCAGGTGGATCCCCTTGAACAAGAGCAGATGGCTCCTCTAGAAACAGAGCATGCCCTTCCTTTCAGCGAGCAGATGGCTCCTCTAGACGAGCAGGTTCCTCAATCACCAGCAATGGCCTCACCTGTCCTGACTCCTCTAGAGCAATTAGATGCAGAATTTGCCAGAGTCAAGGCATGGAGATCATGGAAGCTCTCAAGAATCCTCCATCAAGTTGAAACCATAGCACACTTAATCGACGAAGAAGAGTTTGTGGTGGAGTGGCTTGGGACTGATGACATGGCAGAAGCAACAAGGCTACTAAAAATCAACCAGGTCTATACAATCAAAAGGAAGCAGCTCACTGCCAAGGATGCAATTGAAGATTCAAGTGATGATGATCTGGATAATGATGACGATAATGCTGACGATGCACCAAAGGGACCTCCTAGTTCAAGAGGTAAGAAAATCATCCATTCCTCCTCTTCAAGTGATAAAGAACTCAGGCAAGCCCTTGAGAAATCCAGAATGGAGACCCAAGGAGGAGGAGAATCCTCTAAAGCTCCCCAAAAGCTGCTAGTTGCCACTAGGGCTGCACAGAAATTCCCCGAACCCGCAAAACCCGGCCGCTCCGACCCTACCCGGCCGACTTTAGTCGGTTATTGGGCCCATAAAAAATGTTGTGGGTTTATTTTTTAAAAACCCGTACATTTGGGTAGGGTTGCGGGATTCCCATGAAAAACCCGATAACCCCCCGACCCGGCCGCCTAAATTAACTTCCGTACATGTGCCTCTATTCCTCTAACTCTCTAAGCCCCTAAGTCCGAATTTCAGAATATGTAGAGGCGGCCCGGATTTTTTGTTCTCTGGCAACTTTCCGATTCCCACCTCTTCGATGCTCTCAAACTTTAATTTGCTTCGACCCTTCGATTCTCAAAATATGAGAGCTTCAATCTTCGTAATAGGCTCAGGATGTTTTACCTATTTATATGCATCCAACAGCCCTAAGCCCCTAGTTCGATTTTCATCCTTTCTCTGGCAGTCAAGACTCAAGAACTCAGGATCCTTCAAGAAGAGTTGATCAGTGAGCTACGAAAAGAGGTATGCACCCAGTACCCACCCATATGCTTCGTGAATCCGACACTTAGTTGGTTTACAATTTTATTCTTTTCTTAATTATTATTTATTTCATATAATTCAGGAATTTCTTTCATTATTTTTGTGTAGATGGATTCACTTGATGTGTCTGATTCAGTTAATTTAAGCTTAGAAACAATAGACACACCCAGCCCTGCAAATCTCACCCCCTCTGAGAATCAAACCCCCCCTCCCGTTCGAGTCAGTGATGTTGAGGTAGAAAAAGGATCTTCAGGGAAAAAAAATGTTACCTTTGGAGTCATTTTACTCTCATTCCGGGGAGGGATCCAGAAGACCCTAAGTGCTCTTGCAACTATTGTGGAGCAGAATACAAATGTCACAGTAGGAAGCATGGTACTAGTAGCATGAAAGTTCATTTTTAGCATCAATGTAAAAAAAATCCACACAAAGTCCAGGATAAGAAACAAAAATGCTTGAGCTTTGACATAGCTGGAAATGGTGGTCTGACTGCTGTAGGATTCAATAAAGATAATTGCAGACTAGCTTTAGCAAAAATGATTGTCATGGATGAATTGTCTTTTAGATTTGTTGAGGGTGAAGGATTTATGAAGTTCTGTCAAGTAATGCAGCCTAGATTTGTTATCCCTTCTCGTATGACTCTTGCTAGGGATGTATATAAGCTATTTTCTGATGAAAAGAAAAAACTCCAGGCTGAGCTAAAGAAGCAAAACCAGAGAGTATGCTTGACCACAGATTGTTGGACCTCTTTGCAAAATATAAACTATATGTGCTTAACTGCTCACTACATTGATGTTGAATGGAATTTGTGTAAAAAAGTTTTAAACTTTTGTCAAATTTCTAGTCATAAGGGGGAGTTAGTTGGTAAGGTCATTGAATCTTGTTTGCATGATTGGGGCATTGATAGAGTTTTAATAATTACAGTTGATAATGCCTCTTCTAATGACACTATGATTGCATTCTTGAAAAGAAAATTGAATGGCTGGAAAGGTTCTGTTTTGGGAGGGGAGTTTATGCATATTAGGTGTTGTGCTCACATCATTAACCTAATTGTGAGTGAGGGATTAAAAGACCTTCATGATTCGATTTCTGCAATTCGTAATGCGGTGAGGTTTATCCGAAGTTCTCCAGCTAGACTTTCAAAATTTAAAGCATGTGCTGAGAGGGAAAAAATTGAGTTCAATGGGCTGTTAGTGTTAGATGTACCCACTAGGTGGAACTCTACATACCTAATGTTGGAATCAGCCATTAAATTTCAAAATGCATTTGAGAGGTATGAAGATGAAGATGACAAGTATTTGTCTTATTTTGGTGAGGAGGAAGGTGGGAAAAAAAAAGAAAGGCCCTCCAACTTACACTGATTGGGAGAATGCAGCAGTATTTGTCAAGTTTCTGAAAGGGTTTTATAACACTACATTGAAGTTTAGTGCAACCTTAAATATCACATCAAATGCCTACTTCCATGAGCTATGTGAAATGCAAAGTCAGGTATATACTTTCATATTATGCATTTTTTACTTCTTTTTATCTACTTCTCAAGTTTTATATGATAATAATGAAAATACTCTTTGTTTTCTGATTTGTCAGCTCACATACTTAAGCAATCATAAGGGCTCTCTACTTTCCAAGATGGCTGCTAGCATGAAGAAAAAATATGATAAGTATTGGGGGGATATTAATAATGTTAATTGTATTCTGTTGGTGGCGCCAGTACTTGATCCTAGGTTTAAAGTGGAATACTTGACTCACTGCTTTAGCTACCTTTTTGATCAAGGATCTCCCGTTCATGAAATCTTCCCTAAAAAGGTGAAAGATACGTTGTATCGTTTATTTGAGTTCTATAGTGGTTTCGGGTCGGAAAATGGGGTAAAAGATAGCAACCATGGTGAAGGAATTGCAGGTATGAGTGCTGATGATAGTCTGGAAGGGAGAAACTATCTATGGGGCTCTTTTTCTCAAAAGATGAAGCAGAAGAATGAAAATGATTTCAAGAATGAGATTGAAAGATACTTGGCAGATCCAGTTGAAGATCCAACAATTGATAATTTTGATCTATTATCTTGGTGGAAGCTAAACTGTTCCAAGTTCAACGTTCTTTCACAAATTGCAAGAGATGTTCTGGCTATTCCCGTGTCAACAGTAGCTTCTGAGTCAGCCTTTAGCACTGGTGGCCGAATCTTAGATCCATTTAGGAGCTCATTGAGTCCCAAGACAGTGGAAGAGTTGATATGCACTCAAAATTGGCTTCGAGGTTCTCTTCCTGCTGAAAGCATAGACCTTGAGAAGATGGAGGCATATGATATTGAAGATTTAGGTATTTATTATATCTAACATTCTGAATTTAAATTTAATGTTTTATTTAAAGTGATATCTAAATTGTGTTTTTTCTTTTCAGGTGGATCTTCTTTGGTTGACAATGGTGAAGCATTTTCTGGAGATGTTGGAGCTAGAGGATGTTGAACATCATTGTTTTTTTGCTGCAGCACACATGGATGGATTGTTTTGATTTTTCTTTTTTTGCTTATTAAAACTGGATTATCTCAATTATGGAGATGCTTTTGTGGCTTACTGGCTTTTATGCTTTTGCACTTATCTTCAGTAGTGCTTGTTTTTTTGCTTACTGTTACAAGCATCTCTGAACTTCTTCTTTGGCTATTAATTTAATCAAATGTTTTGCAGGCTTATTTTTGTTTCTCCATCTATGATTTATGTATTCAGAATGCTTCTTTGATTAGTTCAACTATAAGTTTTGATTAGTTCATTGTGTTTTTTTAATGATTAACTGAGCTTTTCACTTTTGCTCTATCCATATGATGTGAAGTTAAAATTATCTGCCAGTTCACTAGTTTTTTAGGAATGGATGAATTAATATATATACTTGCTTTCTTGCTTAATGGCCTTCTGTTTTCTCCATCTGACTGCTGATTCAGTTAGTCCCACTTAGCCAAATAATGGCTTGCTGTTTTCCCCATCTGACTGCTGATACAAAACAGAAGTTTTGAAAAATGACCATAATCCAAAAGCGTTTTAGGATCCTAAAGTATAACATGTACAAAAATTATGTTGTTGTAAAACTGTTTTTCAAGAATTCTAAAGTTATCCTAAAGCGTTTTGGATGTTTTTCAACCTGTCATGAATTCATGATTATTGATTAGTGTAAAACTGTTTTTTTGTTATCAAGAAAAAAAATGCATGATTTGTATTTACTTTTTCTTCACAGTTCACAAAATAGAAGTACAAAACCGTAAAATCCTAAATGCTTCATAAGTGCATTAAGGATCGTACCCGACATGATTTTATTTTTGTTTACCCGACCCTACCCGACCCGTTCATGCATGGTTTACCAACTAATTTTACATATTGCGGGTTGGTTGATAGCTAACCCGAATAAATTGGGTAGGCCCAAAAATTATAGCAAACCCGACCCAACCCGCCCGATGTGCAGCCCTAGTTGCCACCATCCAGCAGGGGACTGCTATGTTAGATCTCAACTTGGAACCCCACCAAGATACATCGCCTGAGCAGCCTGCCACATCAAATGAGATCAAAGATTAAATTCAGCATGATGGTGAAGAAGACACTCCTACACTGGCAGAGGTCTTCATCAACGAAAGAAGGGAAACCATAAAATTTGTAAGCAATGCTGAGGTTAGGTTGCACAAACGGCTAATCAAGATGAAGAAACATTTTGATGAACTATTAGAGATGAGGTTTGCTGAAGTTCATTGCCATCTCAAAAGCAATCTCATGATTCAGCAAGTGTTCAACTCCGAACAAAAGGCACAGCTGCAAATCCAACTATCCCAGCAACCTGCTCAAATGGAGGCAATTCACAAAGAGCTTGAAGCTTTGAAAGCCAGGGATGAAGAACTAGAGAATCAAATTGTAGAATCCCTCAAAGAACTAAGAAAACAAGAGCTAGCAGCTGCCTCCGGTCAAGCAGGTGCCTCCCAGCTAACGACAGAGGTCTCTGCTCAGGTACCTGCTCTTCCTAATCTTCCCCCCAACCTTGAGCAGGCCCTTCTAACAATACAGGCACATGAGGAGTTCATACAACACCTCAAGACCAAGGAGCTTCCTGCTATTCTCCATCTCTCACAAAAGTTGGTCACAAAGCAAGTTGAACACTCTGAGGCAATTGGTCAAACACGAACTGATGTTGCCAAACACCTCACTGACCTTCACCAAGCCACACAAGAGGCATTCCTAAAGCATGGAAGAGACCTTCAAAGACTGGGCCAGAATTTGGAGACAACTAACCAAAGGGTTCAAGGGTTTGAAAATGAAGTCAGAGATGAGGTAAGAACAGATCTGCTGGACCTCAACAACTACATCAAAGCATTATCTATCAAGGTATATGGCTTAGATCCATCAAAGAGAGCACGAGAAGAAGCTGTTTCTGATCCAGAGATAGAAGCATTGTTCGATGAAAGAAAGACCCCTGCTCATGATGCCAAAAGGGGGGAAAGGACAACACAAGTAGGCCCCTCATCTAAAAGATCCCTAGCAGCCAAGAAAGCAGCTGAAACCAGAATGAAGAACAAGCGGCTACAAGAAGAAATGGAAATCAGAAAGAGGAAAGCTGAAGAAGCCAAGGCTAAGGAGGAAACCAAGAAGAAAGCAAAAGAGGGAGAAGACTAAGATAGATCAAAAGTCTGAAACTGACTATAAACTATTGTACTCTAGACTTTAGAACAATGTGCAAAAATTCAATGAAAATCGATAAACATATTTGGTTCTTGTGTTGTATAGTTTTGGCATCATCAAAAAGGGGGAAATTGTTAGTACCCAATTTTGATAGATTTTGATGATGACACTATACTTTGCATGTGTACATTGTGTCTCATTTTATAGCATTCAAATTTAAGTGACAAATGTAAATGTACAATTTTTTAGACTAAAAAAATATTACTGGAAAAGTAAAAATGCAATAAGGTAATTTTTATTTACCTTCATAGGATATTTAGATCCTACCGGCAAATATTATTTAGCTCAAAGATTAATTAAATGTCACAAAAAGAAAACAGGTTCAAAAATCATATACATTGAATTTACATGATTGAAGACAAATCTTGACCAGTATTTAATACCGAATCAAGTACTGAGGGCGGCAGCATGGGACGCACACATAGAAGATACTTCAGTGCCCAAAATTATTGAAGACAAACGTTGCCGGCAGTTAATGCTGATCAAGTACTGGGGTCTAGAGCATTGAAGTGCACACATGGGACTGCCTCTGAAGGGATACTTCAGTGGCTGAATTATTGAAGACAAAATACACGTCCAGAATCAAGCTCCAACACAAGAAGACGAAGAGCAAATCATCCTCGCCAATATTCAACGGAAGAGATCAATCTATTCTAACCAACGAATAAGATTGATCAGCCAAAAAGCCTATAAATAGAGGATGAAACCAAAGTTTCTAACCAAGCTTGAGCATCCTAAGTAGAGAGATACTTCTATTGAGCATTCAAGAAATATCTAGCAAAAGAAAAAGTGTTATTCTATCCACGACTCTCTGCTTAGACTCTTGCTTCACTAAACTTCTTAGTATCAAGTGTTCATTGCTTAAATCATAGAAGTTTAGTTCCTAGTTGAGGTTAGATCTTTCTTGTAAACCCATCAGATATTGTTGTAAACACTTCAGGAGGACAGTTGTTCCCGGCCTGAGTGTGGTTAGATAGGTCAGGAGTACCTTTTGATCCCCACTGGATCAATTGAGAAAAACCTAAAGGATTGAGTAGCTTGGAGTGGTGTTGTACTCCTCGTGAAACACCTTCAATCTAGGCCAGATTTGTCAAGGCTAGATTGGCACTAAGTGTATTGGGCTTAATACATTAGTGAAATCCATCTGAAAGAGGGTGGGACTGGATGTAGGAGGATTACACCACCTCTGAACCAGGATATACTGTGTGTTGATTCATTTTCAGTCAACAAAGCACACACTGAACACTTCTCATAAAAGATTGTAGTTTGCCAGCAGCATCCTAAGCAGTAGTCTTAATTGACTCTCCTGCTTATCCTACTGCTTAATAACTCGCTTTCTTTGAGATACAAGAGATTCACAATATTACAACTATAAGGTCTGTTCCATCAGATTTCAGGAAATCCCACTTAAGGCATAGCAGTTGCCTTAGCAGTCCCCTGGTGACTACCCAACTGCCCAGCCCACTGCTCACGCAAAAGTGTTTCCTTTGAACATCTCCACTTCACCAGACCTTCACAACTCTATCTCCAAGAAGTCTGTTCAAACTAATCACTGCAATTCAAAGTGGTAACCCAGCAGTTGCCTCAGTAGTTCCCTCAATATCACCCAACTGCTGAGACCACTGCTCCAGTAAAACTCCCACTTACTTGGACCAATGCACATCTTCAGAAAGCCCACATCATCCTGAGAAACTCCACATAATCAATCTTTCCATACCTTCACCTTTACTTAAACAGGTGCCTCAGCAGTTCCCTGGTTACCACCCCACTGCTGAGACCACTGCTCTCATTAAGATTGATTATTAATCTACCTTGTTATATCATCAGAAAGCTCTTCCAAATCTAAGAAAGATTCTGAGTGCACTGTCATCATAATTGAGTATTTCGCTAGCAGTTGCCTCAGCAGTTCCCTGCTTTCTTGCCAACTCCCAAGCCAACTGCTCACCTCACAAAGCTCAAATTTCATCCATCATAAGAAAGTGTTATACACTATTTATCTAAGAGGTTAAAGACTTCCGTTGTGCATCTATAAATCTCCCAAAAGATTATAGATCAACTCATCTAGAAGGGAAAAGTTTTAAAGTTGAAAAAGCTTTAAAAGTCTATTCACCCCCCTCCAGACTTTTACCTCTATCCGGGACCATCACATTTTATTCCAGGGGAAGGTTCTCATACCAGGAAATCAGTCCTAGAGAACGAAGCTAATACATGAATTTCATAACACTCCGACAGGAGGACACTCAGGAATGTTACGAACTTTTAATCGTCTAAATCAAACATTTACTTGGCCAGGAATGCGAGGAGCAGTTTCTCAATATGTTCGCGAGTGTGAAGTATGTCAACGCGCCAAGATTAGCTCTCTTGCACCTGCAGGACTAATGTCCCCATTACCGATTCCTACAGCGGTTTGGGCAGATGTTACTATGGATTTCTTAGAAGGATTGCCGATGTCGGGAGGTAAAAACACATTTTTTGTCATTGTTGATCGATTTACGAAATATGCCCACTTCGCAGCTTTAGCGCACCCGTTTACCGCAAAAGATGTAGCTGCCACATTCATACAGGAGGTTGTTAGATAGCATGGATTCCCAGAATCCATCGTAAGCGGCAGGGATCGTGTGTTTATGAGTCTTTTTTTGGAAAGAATTGTTTCGATTGCAAGGCAAACCGTTAAAAACAAGTTAGGCCTACCACCCTGAGACCGACGGACAAACAAAAGTTGTCAATCAGTGTTTGGCTCAATGTTTACGTTGCTTCGCTCACCAAGTCCCTCGAAAGTGGAGTGGACTCCTCATGTGGGCGTTATACGGAAGACCTCCACCAATACTTCTGTCATATAACATAGGACAGTCACCAATATCTGAGGTCGATAAACAATTGCGGACCAGGGATGACGTAATACGCATACTGCAAGAAAATTTTGTAATGGCTGCCAACAGAATGAAACAATTGGCAGACACGGGTAGACGTGAAGTGCATTTTGTTGTTGGCAACCTTGTTTATTTAAAGCTTCGTCCGTTTCGCCAACATTCTGTTTTCGGTAGGGC